GTGGTGTGATGTGTGTGCGGAAAAAAATATGAAAAAGACCAAAACGTAGGGATTCACTGGCCAGAAAATGCCACTTCACAGCTGTGTGGTGTAGACCAGGCTGAATAGTGGCGGTCAATCATTCTGTCTTGCAAGCTGTTGAATGGTGCAATCCCAGCACAAGCTGCTATGGCTTCTGCTGTAGCATCGCTATCATCGCCTCCGGCAATGGGCGTCCAATGGTCCAATAGTGTGTGTGTGTGTGTGTGTGTGTGTGTGTGTGTGTGTGTGTGTGTGTGTGTGTGTGTGTACATGGTGTGTGTGTGTGTGTGTGTGAGAGAGAGAGAGAAAGAGAGAGTGTGTGCGCACGCGCGCACGTGTGTGTGTGTAAGTGTGTGTGTGTGTGTGTGTGTGTGTGGGAGTGTGTGTGTATGTGTGTGTGTGTGTGTGTGTGTGTGTGTGTGTGTGTGTGTGTGTGTGTGTGTGTGTGTGTGTGTGTGTGTGTGTGTGTGTGTGTGTGTGTGTGTGTGTGTGTGTGTGTGTGTGTGTGTGTGTGTGTGTGTGTGTGTGTGTGTGTGTGTGTGTGTGTGTGTGTGTGTGTGTGTGTGTGTGTGTGTGTGTGTGTGTGTGTGTGTGTGTGTGTGTGTGTGTGTGTGTGTGTGTGTGTGTGTGTGTGTGTGTGTGTGTGTGTGTGTGTGTGTGTGTGCATGTGTGTGGTACGCCCATCACCGGTGACAATGTACAAAGTGCGTTCACACGAGACTGAGCACCAGCTTTGCAGGTTCAGTACACACACACACACACACACACACACACACACACACACACACACACACACACACACACACACACACACACACACACACACACATACACACACACACCTTGACCTTGACCTTGATACACGTTGCGTGGATAGGTTACACGGTCCCCGTCAAGGGAGAGGGGTGGAAGAGGCTGAGGAGCAGCACTTCTGATGGCGCACTAGATGGTGACGTAGTCGGAACTTCCTTTGGCAAGGGCACTCAAACGGGAAGTCGGCCCTTTCCGACACTGTCCTTCGTTTCGTGCGGTCGCACTTGTGTCTGGCCAAGCCGCTGCTGGACTTGAAACTCTGGTGGCAGGTGCTGCACTGCGGAGTGACCGGGGTGCCGGGGTGCTCGATGTTGGGAGCAGGTCCGTGATCGCACCGATGGGTAGCCAATCCACGGGGCTACGGAACCAACGTTGGCAGAGACGACATTGGCAAGCGCCAGCCTGATTGCACACTGGTTTCTGTCGTTCTGCCAAGCATTTGTGACGCTTCTCATCTGATGGGCGAGAGAAGTAACGATCACATACTTGGCAATGGACATTGGGTGTGGGCGGTTCGGGCTCGAAACAGCGGTACATGCGGCGCCAGTCGGGGCGAGAATCTGCCAGATCGTACCATCCCTCCACAGCATTCAGGGCCTTCAGGTCTGCACTAATGCAGTCCTTCCAGCGTTTGCGTGGACCGCCATGTGGACAGCGGGATGGGAGCAGACCGAACAACAGAATCTTCGGGATGCGCTCTGGTGACATGCGAGCAACATGACCCAGCCACTCAAGTCGTCGCTGGCGAATCCGGACAGCAAGTGGGCGCTTGTCGCCCCACATTTCCAGCAACTGATCATTGCTGATCCGCTCTTGCCAGGCGTCTGTCTAACCTTGTTATGCCGAGAACGGTACGCAGACACTGCATGTAGAACGTGGAGAGCCTCCGGATGTCGGCTTGGAGGAGTACCCAGCACTCAGCTCCGTACAGCAGAATGGTGACAACGCACGCATTGAAGATATTCTTCTTGGTGCGGACGGACAGATGGTGGTTGTTGAAAACTGGCTGCCGCAGGGAGCCAAACGCACGGGAGGCAGCCGCAATTCTGGAGGAGATGTCAATCGAACACCGGCCAGACGTATCGATCATCGACCCAAGGTAGCGAAACTCCGTTACGCACTCGATCTGGTTCGAACCAACACAAACAGGGGCGGGGTCCGCATCAGAAATGTCTCTGCCGATCACCATGAACTTGGTCTTGGAGAGACTAACTGTCAGTCCAAACTCGGAGGCGACTTCATCGAATGTCACTGCAGCTCGCTCGAGCCCGGATCGAGATGTCGCAAACAGTGTGGAATCATCCGCAAACTGGCATTCAGTTACGGTGTCTGACACTGCTGTGCGACGAGGCTTCTGCATTAGCTGACCATTGATGTTGTAGCGGATATCGACACCGAAGCCATCCACGCCTTCCATCCGCTGCGTATGAAAGACAACAGCCATGTACAGGTTGAAAAGGACCGGTGCCATGGAGCAGCCCTGGCGCAGGCCATTCTGTACCTCTAGCGGGTCCAACAGCCGACCATCAATGTGTAGACACGTCTCCATGTCCTTATGGAATGCTCTGATAATGCTGACCAGTTTCTCCGGTACACCGAGACGGAGGAGAACAGCCCAAAGCGCGGCACGGGGGACGCTGTCGTATGCCTTCTTCAGGTCGATGAACAGTAAGAAGGCTCTGTCATGATGTTCCAAGACCTTCTCGCTGATCTGGCGTACAGAGAAGATCATATCAGTGCAGGATCTAGCGCGATGAAATCCACACTGGGAATCAGGAAGGACTTCTTCAGCCACTGTCTGCAGCCGGGTTTGGACAATGCGAGCGACCACCTTGCCGACCACATCCAGCAGAGCAATTCCTCGCCAGTTGTCACAAAGTGACAAGTCACCCTTCTTCGGAAGAGGGACCAGGACAGAATTTACCCAGTCTTGCGGGACTCGTTCTTCTTCTCACACGGTGGCCAGCAAGTTGGTGAGCGAACAGTTGAAGGTGTCGCCGCCAGCCTTGACCAGCTCTGGAATAATGCCTGAGCTGCCGGCTGCTTTGCCATTTTGGAGTTGCGCGATGGCTTTGGTCACTTCAGCTAACTGTGGTGGGATTGCAAGATCATCCTGGCTCTCCAGCTGTAGCAAGAGCGCAAGGACACGGGGTCGGCACAGCTACGAATGTTCAGGACACCTTTGAAGTAACCACACCACCTTGTCGCACGTTCCTCCTCTGTGGTGCACACACAACCGTGTTCATCCTTGATGGCCTGCACCTTAGCTGGGGCAAGGCCAAGAGTAGCACGCTGAATATCACGAATACATTTCCAGACCGTTGCGCCATTGAAGCGTGCTCGCTCCGCCTCCGCAGCTTTCTCCTCTAGCCACTGTGTTTTCGCACGGCGTATGGCAGAACGGGAGGCATTGCGCACTGATCTAAATTCACGGGCAAACTGATCGTCCTGGGGACCATGGGCAATCCATGCTGCATAGGCATCATTTCTACGCTTCAGCAGTGGTTCAGCAGTGGTTCAGCAGTGGTTCAGCAGTGGTTCAGCAGTGCTTCAGCAGTGGTTCAGCAGTGCTTCAGCAGTGCTTCAGCAGTGGTTCAGCAGTGGTTCAGCAGTGGTTCAGCAGTGGTTCAGCAGTGGTTCAGCAGTGGTTCAGCAGTGGTTCAGCAGTGGTTCAGCAGTGGTTCAGCAGTGGTTCAGCAGTGGTTCAGCAGTGGTTCAGCAGTGGTTCAGCAGTGCTTCAGCAGTGGTTCAGCAGTGCTTCAGCAGTGCTTCAGCAGTGGTTCAGCAGTGGTTCAGCAGTGGTTCAGCAGTGCTTCAGCAGTGGTTCAGCAGTGCTTCAGCAGTGGTTCAGCAGTGGTTCAGCAGTGGTTCAGCAGTGGTTCAGCAGTGCTTCAGCAGTGGTTCAGCAGTGCTTCAGCAGTGGTTCAGCAGTGGTTCAGCAGTGGTTCAGCAGTGGTTCAGCAGTGGTTCAGCAGTGCTTCAGCAGTGGTTCAGCAGTGGTTCAGCAGTGGTTCAGCAGTGGTTCAGCAGTGCTTCAGCAGTGGTTCAGCAGTGGTTCAGCAGTGGTTCAGCAGTGGTTCAGCAGTGGGTCCAGGGTGTCACTACTGTCAATGTACCAGTCCGGTTGGGGGCGACTTCGTCGTCCCAGGACAGTGTCACCAGTTGTCATCAAGGCATCACGAAGCACATTCCACTGTTCATCAAGACTAGCGCCATCGTCAGGCGATGAGTCAGCAAGAGAACACACACACGCACACACACACGCACACGCACACACACACACACACACACACACACACACACACACACACACACACACACACACACACACACACACACACACACACACACACATTTTCTCTTATAGCAATGATAGCGAACAAGATCTGAATGAGACAGATCAAGACTTGCACAAGATAACTGTCTAATCCACACAACTGGCGAAGCCATGTGAATCGACCACCAATGCACGCCTGGTCTACACCACACGGAGTACATCGGCGTAAAACGGCCAAGACAGTTACCTATGCACACCCTACACTTGCTGGGGTAACCAGTATAGACAGCACGCTGCTTTGATAGAAGCAGAAACTAGATGCACTGGTACCTTGAAGTGAGATGGGAGTTACTTTACCAACCAGCCTCGGCTACTGAGTATTGGGAACCCAGAGTCAAAAGACATACCAACAACCTCAGCCATACACACACACACACACACACACACACACACACACACGCACAAGGACACCCCCCCCCCCCCATACACCATTGACCATTTGACACCCATCGTCGGAGCCGATGATAGCAATTCTACAGCAGAAGTTACAGTCAGACCTTGTATATCCGCACACATTGTTTTCCACAAAGATATCCAGATAGGCGAGGGAACCGGATAATCGAACACAAATACTGAATGTATGGAAGGCATATGCTGTAAATCGGTAACCAACGAGTTTCTTCCGGATGGCGAGGGATCCGGACAAAAGAGGACCAAATAAGCGAGGCCTGACTGTGTAGCAAGTTGTGGTGCCCCATACACACACGCACACATGCACACACGCACACACATCACCACCACCATGCTCTAATAGTAGATAATAATTATTATCGTAGTGCATCGCGTATTTCAACGTTGCTAGGCTGCTTCTGCTTGTGTCTGCAGATGTTGAAGCTACTGATTACTTGCTTGATCCTGGCGCGGGCCGATAGTTCCTCAGTAACCCTTGCTAAACAGCCACCGTCATGTGGTAATAGCAGCTGGCGTGAGCAGGCGAGTCGTGTCTGCACTAGCGTCCATGTTGCAGGCAAAGGGTTACAGCGACTCTGCAGCAACCAGCATCTTCAGGGGATTGTGGACGTGCCGAAAAATAGAAATACCCCCGTCCGCACTTACCACCTGTAAGTTATAGGGTCCCAGCTGTGCATACTGGCATGCTGCCGTATATACTGGTATACAATACAAAAATAAAATAAAATAAATATTGGCATACTGGCATACTGTGCAAACACCGTAAACCTTAGCTTACCTTTGCATGTCCTACCCCGTTTGTCTGTTTGTCCTAGTCTTCTGTCCCACTTTACTGTTATCCCACATCATCAGTAGGAACGTGTGCTTTAACCTATTTAGGGCATCATCAGGGCCCTGATGATGCCCAGTGGGCGAAATATTGGCAAAGTTATTTATTTGGTGCAGCTGAGAGCCTGTTGCCGGAATGGCGGTGTTTTCAAGTAAAACAAGAATAAATAACAATAATAATAACCGAGCTCAAATATTCAGCTGCCTTTTCGGTCTCCTTGCTCGTATTGAGCTCAAATTTTCTGTGAGGACTCACAGGATCCACTACCATCATTTGAATCTAGTTTCCATGGCAGCAGGTAGCGCAAAAATGATCCACAATGGAAAATACGCATTCTACAGACTGCGCAAAAAATCGAGTTGAAATTTGCCGTGTCGAGTCGCATATCTCAACAACCAGAAGTCGTATCGCTTCGGCGATTGTTTCTTTCGCCAGCTGAGAGTTTTCTCTTGCAGATACGACCAAGTATTGACTGAGTTACGATAGTTTGAACAAGTCACTATGGACTCAACACGGACCCAACGACTATGAGATGCAGGTTCACTGTACAGTGCACAGTGCATCGTACTAGTACGACGGCCGTGGGGCATGCAACTCATGTGCATCATACTAGTACGGCGCTCGCGCTAAAGAGGTTAAACTAAAAAATACTTGATCTACATTTAAACTCAGATACTGAGCCAGTAATAAATGTAGAAAAGAGAAGAAACACATGAGAACGAGTTATGCAGCAACTATCCTTTCTGACTGTTTATGATCTTGTTACAGTCGTGGACAGTTGCTGCATAACTCGTTCTCATGTGTTTCTTCTCTTTTTTTACAAATACTTGGTCCTTATTTATTTTAAGTAAAAGTGGGGAGGCTTCCTGCAGTTTCATAAACAGTTTTAAGAGTAGATCCCACACGCTCTCTTCCATTAACACTGCAAAAGTCAAACCCATTTCACAATAATTATTCCAACGTTTCGGCAAATTGCCTTCATCAGGTTTTTTATTTTCTATAAAATATACTGGTTGGTATACTGGTGTACTTTTCAAAACGGGTTTATTCAAACAATACAACTTGGAAAGAAGGAAGAAAACCAAAGATGCAAGGGATGAAACTCGACGATGAAATCAAAATGAAAATTTGAAAAGTCTAATCCAAAGAAACTCTAGGCAGATGTAACAAGGTTGTGTAAAAGATTCAACTCAATCCCTAGACGAGTGCTTTGAAAGATGTGAAGTGTGCATGAATGATGTTTGCTGAGAACAACAAAATAAAAATATGAATAGAAAATAAATAGAAGTAAAAAGGAAAACAAAAACAAAACGCCACAGTAATCCAGAAAAACAAAAGAAGCTACACAAAGTCACAAAACGACCAACAGAGAAAAATTTGGAGAATGGAAAACAAAGTCTACCACAAATCGCACACAAGCACGCTAACATCTAAACTATCATACCAGAAACTACTGAAAAAGCTCCAAAAGGACTCAAAAAGCTCCAAAAGGACTCAAAAAGACACAGCAAGAAAACATAGAGTCAATGACAAGACATAATTCATTAATGTGGCCGGTGAGCTAAAGCACCACACTCCGTGACAAAAATATGTCTCGGCTGGCACCTGATCCACCGCGTTGGTGAGACGCCCGTGAGCCCCGGAAGCAAGTTATCTGCCACCGCACGAGAGATAGACTGATCCTGTACCGTAAATGACGGATTATGGGATACTGGTATATTGGGTATGCTGGTCTAGGCTATGTTGTGGTTCATTGCTCTGCTGATATCTACTGCCATTGACAAGTCACACACACACACACACACACACACACATCCCTGGTGTATACAGTGAGATGTTAGCATTTCTCTCCTGGTCGTGTAATACTGAGATGTTCCGATTGGAATTCGACGGGTTGACCGGGGCTGGCACCCTGCCACTAGTGACTACTTCTGTTGTAACTGACTTGATTCACCTGCTCCCAGCCCCATGCCATCTCCATACTTATACAATGGATGATGATAATTACACCATGCCATGTACAATATACAATGTAATTGATTTTTTATCGTCAGATTTCCCGAGAAATCGGGGCGGACCGGAGGTTTTTAATTCTATTTTTTATTATGCATGTGGTTGTAGGGTAGGTGTTCGCAACCCCAGACATTGGGTTTTAAGCCATTTTGGCGCAGTGTAAGATAAATCCATGTGATGCAGATGAATCGTCAGCCATGAATACTTAACGTCTTGCAAGACAATTTTGAGGATTCTAATAATGAAAAGTACTTTTAAAGTGCAACAACCAACGTTACGTAGAAAATACGCAGGAAATCAGGCAGCTGATGATCAGTTTCACTTTTCAGGCCCGTATCAACTAAGTTATGGTTCAGTCTGTGGACTTGACCTGCGAAAATCTACGGCCATGCTGATTAGAGGCTGTAGACCGCAGTACATACAGTACATTTACCAGTACTAAAAAAATAAAATAATTCAGCCGGGAGGGTGAAAAGTTGGGGCGGGCGCGGACGATAAACAATCCTTTTTTTACTTGGCCTTATGGAAGACTGCTTATTACAAGACGATTGCAGAAACACAACTAGACATGACTAACTCAAGACGACGACTGCTCTTCACACCACGGCAGCACGCGCATGCACCGACACCACGTACACACGACGTGCACAAGATGACGTACTACAGCACATCCACGGTAGTTCCCGCAGACGGTGTAGACATTGACCAGCAGCACTCGCGGCTGGAAGGCCAGCGCCCCGTCACTTCTCAACCAATATCACGCCACTCTTATGTATGGTGTGGTATTTTTATTTTTATTCACCAATCGAACAGGCATATCTGCCTTCTTGCCGGAATGGCCAGAGCCAACCATGGCTCCTACTAATTGATGAATATGATAATGTAAAGCAAAAGAAAGCAAAAAATGGGGTAGTGCCTTTCCTCTCTTGCGTTACGCAGAGCTCACTAGCTGATCAGTTTGAGCAATCGCGCAGAGTACGTTCGGACCTGATTTAAATCGGATTTTGGCAAATTTTAGTGTCGTTTCCACCAGGTTCGGCCTCATTTTCTCTATGCTGCGCTGATGAGTCCACAAAGGACGAAGTGGTTCTGTCTGCAGCTTGAATATTGCAGGCAAGTTGTACAAAACCAGGGATAAACATTATGCTGATGTCATTGAGGTGCGGATTGTGCATGCTTTTTTCAACTTGGTATAGCATGTGAGTGTCATTTGAACAAATTAAACCACTCTGATCTCTGGTGCTAAACCACTCTGATGGTTGCAAGTATCGTGGACGTTTCTCAATTAGTTGGTGACCGTAATTTTCAAGTGAAAAATAGTTTTTCCTTGACCTCACTAAGTTCCTCTCCTTTTGATTCCTCTTTCCTTATCGCCTTCCTCTTCTCTGCCCTTCCGCTTCCCTGCCCTTCCTCTTCTCTGCCCTTCCTCTTCTCTGCCCTTCTGCTTCCCTGCCCTTCCTCTTCTCTGCCCTTCCTCTTCTCTGCCCTTCCGCTTCCCTGCCCTTCCTCTTCTCTGCCCTTCCTCTTCTCTGCCCTTCCTCTTCTCTGCCCTTCCTCTTCTCTGCCCTTCCTCTTCTCTGCCCTTCCGCTTCCCTGCCCTTCCTCTTCTCTGCCCTTCTTCTTCTCTGCCCTTCCGCTTCCCTGCCCTTCCTCTTCTCTGCCCTTCCTCTTCTCTACCCTTCCTCTTCTCTACCCTTCCTCTTCTCTGCTCTTTCTCCTCTCTGCCCTTCCTCTTCTCTGCCCTTCCTCTTCTCTGCCCTTCCTCTTCTCTACCCTTCCTCTTCTCTGCCCTTCCTCTTCTCTGCCCTTTCTCTTCTCTGCCCTTCCTCTCCTCTGCCCTTCCTCTTCTCTATCCTTCCTCTTCTTTACCCTTCCTCTTCCCTGCCCTTCCTCTTCCCTGCCCTTCCGCTTCTCTGCCCTTCCCCTTTTCTGCCCTTCCTCTTCCCTGCCCTTCCTCTTCTCTACCCTTCCTCTTCTCTGCCCTTCCTCTTCTCTGCCCTTCCTCTTCTCTGCCCTTCCTCTTCTCTGCCCTTCCTCTTCTCTACCCTTCCTCTTCTCTGCCCTTCCTCTTCCCTGCCCTTCCTCTTCTCTACCCTTCCTCTTCTCTGCCCTTCCTCTTCCCTGCCCTTCCTCTTCTCTACCCCTCCTCTTCTCTACCCTTCCTCTTATCTGCCCTTTCTCTTCTCTGCCCTTCCTCTTCTCTGCCCTTCCTCTTCCCTGCCCTTCCTCTTCTCTACCCTTCCTCTTCTCTGCCCTTCCTCTTCTCTACCCTTCTTCTGCCCTGCCCTTCCTCTTCTCTACCCTTCCTCTTCTCTGCCCTTCCTCTTCTCTGCCCTTCCTCTTCTCTGCCTTTCCTCTTCTCTACCCTTCCTCTTCTCTGCCCTTCCTCTTCCCTGCCCTTCCTCTTCTCTGCCCTTTCTCTCTTTCGATTCTGACCTACTTGTTTCTGTTCTCACCTCCCTCTCTTCTCGACTCCCCCATTTCTTCCCTCCCTGCTTCCCTACTCCTCTTTCTGTTCTTTACTGTGTTCAACAGGAATATGAGCTACAATGACGTAACCTGCTTCACCAGAAAGAGCATACTGCGGCTTGGCAGGTCTTTGAAAGTTTTGTAAGTCAGGAGAGTGGGGCATCACAGGGAGGTAGGGAGGGGGGGGGGGATCCAGGAGGGGTTCCAGGGGTTCCGCGGAACTAAATGTACTACTGGTAACCATATGCGGGTCCATGTATATAATATCAGCTATTTACTTTTGACTATACTGGAACCCCATGAAAAGATCGTTGGATCCGCCGCTGGGGGGGGGGGGGAGGTGTACTAATACCTGCAAGTGCTGAGAGTACCGATTCTGGATTGCCAGGGCAAAATCTCGGGATTTGCCTTGGTTTTTCGGGATATGTCATATTTTCCAAAAATTCCATTTTCAACTTTTTGAAATGATGACACCAAATATTTGCGACATTATCAGTAACATGGGAAATTGTGTGCACAAGTTATGCGATCGAGTCCACCAACTGAACCAGATTTTGAACAGTCAGACGTGCACAATCTAGCACAAAACTGACAGGCAGTATTGAGACATTCCACGGCATGAATGATCTTGCCGTCCCGTCATCCTCCCAGGCCAGAAATCCATGAAGCCTTGGAATGTAGCTTGTGCTCGGCTCAATGGCGCTGGCCTTCCCCTCTTTGGAATTAGCACTAATATCCATGAACCTTCCAAGTTGGAAGGCCGGTGGTTAGCGCTATCGAGCAATGCTCAAGCTGACTTTCATGCCGTGGAATGTCTCAGTACTCCCTGTCAGTTTTGTGCTAGATTGTGCACGTCTGACTGTTCAAAATCTGATTTAGTTGGTGGACTCAATTGCATAGCCTGTGCTCACAATTTCCCATGTTACAAATATTTCCTTGGCTCACCATCTGAGTTCTTACGACATTATCAGTAATTACAATTGTATATAATCATACTCATCACATTATACGCAAGCAAGTTCAGGACTCAAAACAGAGGTTTTTCAGCGACTGTTCATGGACAGAGTACTCAGAGATCCACTAGTACTACAGCTATCGCAGTGCAGGATCAATTTTAAAAGGACAACTAGACAAGTCACTTGAAATGCTCCAAGAACAATACCACGACTTGTTTCGTGTACAGGGATTTTCGGGGTAATCGGCAGGAATTTCGGGATCACGGAGTTGAGCCAAAAATGCGGGATATTCGGGATACTTGGCAGGAATGTGTACACCAAGGGAAAATTGGATTCTTCGGCCAACAGGGCAAGTTTTAGTTAAAAAAATAATAATTAATGCTAGTAGTACAACCATGGTCATACTGATCGTTCTGTGTGTGACAGCCGTGCAAGTCATGAGCTCTGCACTGCCTGGCTGCCGTTTCTTGTGGTCGGCTGGGTTTCCATCATGGACGTTTTTTCTTGTGGTCGGCTGGGTTTCCATCATGGACGTTTTTTCACTACTTTAAAATGGCTAGTTTTAGCGCCGGTTATATTTCAGCGATTTTCACGAAAGGAGTGTTTTCGCTTAAGTTTTGCTGCGCCGATCGAAATTTTGCATGTACAGTCAATTTCGCTTATAACGACACTCGGCGGGGCATCAGAAAAGTGTCCTTATTCGCGAAGTGTCGTTATACCCGAAGTCTCACTATTATGTGTTACAGTTGGAAGAGACTTTGCTCTGGGGATGGAAATGCTGTCGTTATTCGCGAATTGTCGTTATATCCGCAGTCGTTATTAGCAAAGTTGACTGTACCGTAAAGTCCGCTGCAAACGCCCACCCCATTTTTGCAAGATCTGCTGGCCTGTACACACTGACCCCATGCACTGTCATCCCTACTGTACACAAGTGCATCTCCATTTTCACACCGTAGCAGGAAGAGCACTTTGCTACGATAAACTATGTCCATTTTCCTGGTTTCAAAATCTCTTTGTGCACTAGCCACGAGCTAGCTCGTAGTGATTTTATAATGATGGTTGTTTTATTTCGCACATCCGAACGGGTTTTCTTCCGAATAACAAGGTAGCGAAGAACAGAGTATCGAAGGAACCAAATACCGTATTTTACCGGTTGTAAGTCGACCCCGGTTATAGGTCGACCCCCAAATCCGGAGGTCTCAATTCTGCGTTTTAAAGTTTTCATCCAACGCAGCACTACTAACCACTCCCTGCTACTAACACATCAACAAATCATGTAAACATTCCTTATTGGAGACTATAACTTCCGAATCTTTGAAAAAAGCCAATAAACTGGCAAAAATGTGTACACATGGTGCTCTCGTGCATGCAGTGCACGTCATTTTTTGTAAGATACTGATAGTTCCCGGTTATAAGTCGAATCCCGGTTGTAAGTCGACCCCCACCCTTTCTCCTTCTATTTTTAGTCGTGAAAGGTCGACTTACAACCGGAAAAATACGGTACACTTCTGACAGTGTTTCAAGCCATCATTTCGAGATCACACAACGCCCAAAGGCAAATGTTTTTCTTGGGCACTTCGGAGTTTTCAACAAGTTAGCAGCGACGGTGTAGGTGTAGCTTCTGTGACATACCCTGTTCGACTTGCAACTGCAATATTGGGACCAGTCAAGCCGTTGACTGACGCTTCATCAGAACAATAACTGTTCCTGACAGCGCGACATCGTGGCACTGCACAAATTTCTACGGCATTACTCGTACCACATGGAGAACGAACTACCACAAAGACGACACATTATCGACTGAAAGGAAATCTCGACAGAAGTTATTTCTTTGCAGGAAGATAATGACAATCGCTTTTGCACAGCCTAGCCTCCTGGTAGGACATCGGCAGTTTGTAGGCATTACAGTCGTTCTCGTACGCATTCGACCTTCATGCCAGTTGTTTACAACTACGACCTGAGAAAGACGAAAATAGTATGGACCCGCTGGGGTGGGCGTTTGCTGCTGGGGTGGGCGTTTTCTCCGGACTTTACGCTACTAGTCATCTTCTTTTCATCAATTTGGATCGCAAAAGTTATTTATCACAAATCGGTCCTGATTCGAAAACGCCAAAAATTTTACCCACTAAAATTAGCCACTCTACAGTAACTGGTGGCTCCTTGTCTTTTTGAACTCTGGACAAAAGAAAGTGCTGGGCATCTCCAAGACAATGTATTAGGAGACAGAATGACAACTGCTCCGCTGTGCATCATCTGATGGTTCTGTGGTATTCCGTAAAAAAATTAATAAAATTAAAGGCACTGCACTATTTAAGACACGGCACTACACTGAGGAAATTTGTAACGCGCATAATGGACGGTTTACAGTATTGATTCTTAAATGACACAGTCTAATTCGATCTACCGCAACATGTGCTCTTCTCTGCCCACTCCCCGCGTGCAGGGATTTGTCACACAATCGACTCTCCACCTTGCCAGATAACTTAACATACCACCTGAATCATACTACTCACTGGTAAGGAGTTTTCGTTGTGCCTGGTGTTTTTCATCAACTTTGCCTTCTGCGAACTGTGTTGCCTACCGTTCCATCCACTGACTGCAATTGACTGAGCGAAGTAAATGCAATGCAGTGAAAGTTGATAGAGACGATCGCTAAAGAGACCCTCCAAATGTGGTGCCTTTATTATAATTATGATTAAGGCACCACATTTCGAGGGTCTCTTTAGCGAGTGTCTCTATCAACTTTCACTGCATTGCATTCACTTCGCGCAGTCAATTGAATTCCCCAAAGGCAGAAGCCTAAACCAAGGGGGTCTCCGAGAATTACTATCGTTGTGATATACATTAGGAAGGGTTTTAGAAAAAAGGGCCAGTGCATGCGAAAACTTGTCTTCGGGGGAAACCGATTTCTTTCAGAATTTTGAGAAAATCGCTCGGAAAGAAGAGTTATATTTTTTTGTGGCTCGATCGCGGATCTTGATCTCAAGACGACAAGAGAAGCGACAAGCGATCATCATGGACGTGGCGGCGCAGGAGGAGTTGGAAGTAGCACTTGAGGAAGGGCCTCTGAGTAGACACACTCGTGGCAGACGCCGAGCAGCACGCCGGTTGAGCTGTACCGCTCGCGTGATTATCGTCGGCGCGTCCGAAGAGATCGGCAAGGTTTATTATCGAGGAGGAAGACGACAATTTATTTGGCGAGTCGTGAGTCGGAGCAGTCGGCAACTAGCAGCTGTTCTGCTCACAGTGACTTTGACGAAGCCCCAGCTAAGCGTCCGGGAGTGAAAGACTCCTGTGTTGAGGTTGAAGGCGAGTCGAGAGCGGATGAATTAGGCGGAGATTCTGTGGCCTCTGCAAGCGACGATGAGCAGGACGCGCTTCAGAGCATTGCCGCTGTGGACTCACTGATTCTTGAAGGCTGTGGCTGTGTTCGGAACTACCATTTCAGCAGCTTCTCGTCGAGCGCAATCCTCCATTACGACGACTAAATCTCGGCGATGAAATCGAAAGACCTCGGCCTTTTTTTATATTTGTGTGCTGGCTGCGCTGCACGCGTGACGATCCTGTCGACTGTCGTGCATCAGTCGACAGCTTCCGCAACGGAAAGGACGCGCATCACGTTTGGATACACTGTGATGGGACACATCGTGTGACGAACCGCGTTTATGCAGCTCCATGATTGTGGTTGGCAGAACATGACTGTGCAAGTGGACAAGGAGAACAATAGCTGTCATCCTGGTGCACATGGAAAGCTGGCAATGTGCCTTGGAATAAATTTACTGCAGAAGTGGGAGACAGAGCGCAGCAGTTTATTCTGAACAGACTGAACTACAGCTTAGTGTTCAGCCTCCCTTTGTCTGCTGCACCAAGAGGGAGAGGTGAGGAATCTCCCATGAAACTTACCTACATAGTACATCCGTCGCCTACAAGTTTGTCCTTTCGGAACATGTCGAGCAGTCTGGTGAAGCGCAAACCCTGGGTTACCGTATTTTGTTTGTATCTGTGGACTAAGAAGTGCAAGTCCATCGATTTCATGACGCAACAGATGGATGTGTTCAACAAGTGTGAGCTGCTCCAGGACGATATTTTGTTCTCCTCGTGCAGAGGATGAAAAGAAGTCTGCAACGGAACCACTCCGTGACCATGTTGTCTTTGCACAAAAAGAACGCGAGTTCTTGTTAGGTCAACGCTGCAAGAATTTGCTGGACAATGTTGCCCGTTTTGTCTGGATAACAAGGCAGCCTTCATTGAATGTCTTGGCCAATACTAAAGGCTCATACGCAAAACTGTTGCTGCTAATAATGCATCGTGCATCGTGCTGCTAATAATGCATTAAACAAGGCATATTCCATGTTGGACAATGCCATAGAAATCATGGTCTCTATGTACTTTCAAATGTGATATCCAGCTTTATCTTCCACAGAGTTGTTCTCTAGACCCCTGTGATTGATTTGCAAGAAAGAAAAAAATTTCCAAAAATTTGCCCTTAGACACGGTATTGCATGCACTGGCCCAAATATGAAAAAAGCTGTGTGCAAATTCAGGTTGTCAGAAACCGTCGAGGATGAAGTCTATGTCAGTGGGCACAGGACTTTTAAAACCTGCCAGCTAAGTTACTCCACTATTACAGATTGTCTCCTTTTCCAAGTACGGTTGGTTTGGAGAAGTGGAGATGACATCCATTGGTTCAGGTTCATTGGTCCTCAGCCTGGGGTCAGGTGCTCGCCTCATGAGGGTGGTCGCGTCTTGAGGGTGGTTGCCTCATGAGGGTGGTCGCCTCATGAGGGTGGTCGCCTCATGAGGGTGGTCGCCTCATGAGGGTGGTCGCCTCATGAGGGTGGTCGCCTCATGAGGGTGGTCACCTCATGAGGGTGGTCGCCTCATGAGGGTGGTCGCCTCATTAGGGTGGTTGCCTCATGAGGGTGGTTGCCTCATGAGGGTGTTCGCCTCATGAGGGTGGTCGCCTCATGAGGGTGGTCGCTTCATGAGGGTGGTCGCCTCATGAGGGTGGTCACCTCATGAGGGTGGTCGCCTCATGAGGGTGGTTGCCTCATGAGGGTGGTCGCCTCATGAGGGTGGTTGCCTCATGAGGGTGGTTGCCTCATGAGGGTGGTCACCTGATGAGGGTGGTCACCTCATGAGGGTGGTCGCCTTGACAGGTGTTACTGGACAGTGAAACCTGTCAAGGCGACCACCCCTTGGGGCCAGAGAAAGCGATCTTTAGTGGCAGGTGGTCCTTAGAGGTTTGCACCGCACAACCATATATGAATGTGAGACCGTCCATGCCTGGCGAAGTGGTCTGTAGTACCAGGCCGGTCGCTAGTCACGGTGGTCTTTAGTCACAGGTTTTACTGTGTATCACATTCTGATCTCCATTGCACATTGTTGCATAGCTGCCAGTCTCCACATCATGATTTTTGTACAGCACAAGTGTTTCATGCTGACAGCAAAGGTTGTATTTCATCGGGTGTGTTGTACGTGCGTGTTTGTGTGCGTGCATGTGTGTGTGTGTGTGTGTGTGTGTGTGTGTGTGTGTGTGTGTGTGTGTGTGTGTGTGCATGTCTGTGTATGTGTATGTGCATGTGTGTGTGTGTATTTGTGTGTGTATTTGTGTGTGCGTGTCTATGTGTGTATGCGCGTGCGTGGTGCGCGTATGTGTGTGCGTCGTGCGCGTATGTGTGTGTGTGTGTGTGTGTGTGTGTGTGTGTGTGTGTGTGTGTGTGTGTGTGTGTGTGTGTGTGTGTGTGTGTGTGTGTGTGTGTGTGCGCGCGTATGTGTGTGTGTGTGTGTGTGTGTGTGTGTGTGTGTGTGTGTGTGTGTGTGTGTGTGTGTGTGCGTGTGTGCATGTGTGTGTCTGTGTGTCTGTGTGTGTATACTTCCAGGTACTTTTCCTATAACAATATCTCAAACATAAGCTCCACCGCCTTCGCAATCTCCAGGGAGAGGGTCAGGAGGATGCAGATGGTGTGAGTAGTAAAATTACAATTCTCAATGTGAAGAGCGTAACATGCTGGGGATCTTGTTAGTACAGGAGAGCATGGCGAATCTAGCGTGCCACTGCCACCGAGTCCAAGAGAACCAACGTAGTCTTGGAGTGCGAGTACATGAGTTGACTTCTTGCCAGGTTTGCTGGGCATCAATGAGCAGCTTGGCTTCGGTACAATGCTAGACGTGAAAGACCAATAACCAAAAAAAGACTTCTAGACGTTAAAAAAAGCACTTCTAGACGTTGGTACATTTCGAGGTGTTGGTAGTCGTCTGCGTAAAAAAAACACTTCTAGATGTAAAAGAGCACTCCTCGATGTAAAAAAAAGCACTTCTAGGTGTCGGTACATTGTCCATACAATGCCAGGTGTCGGTCCGCTGGTCAGTGTTGGTACACCTAGCAAAGGCAGGGCAATGTGACATGTGTTGCATCTATATGGGCCAGCTGTGTTGGCATGTACATAGCATTAGTATGTAGAAGTGACCGGCGGAAGCAGTTTTTGATTTGGCCGACCACACAAGACCCTAGCCTTACATACAATTTGTGTATGATATGGAGGGTATACACATGACTTACATACAATTTGTGTATGATATGGAGGGTATACACATGACCTCCTCAGCAGTAAACACACGTTAGTGGGAAGAGGGTTGGTAGTGCCATGGCCTGGCCAACCGGACCGGTTCGGCCGGGCCTGAGGCAGGAGTGACCGATAGGCGTACATCTCAAGGGCCTAGCTCGAACATCTGCGGTGTGGCGATAGTGTGCCAGAGCATGCCCGTGGTGTGGTGATCACGTACCACCGGCACCCTCAGAGCCTCCATTTTGCCCTTTTTTCCCGATGTAGTACATATGACGGCTATTCTCTGGTGTGTTGACCAGACCGCACTGACCATGCACGAGCCACGCGCCTACAGTCCATTCATCGGAAACAGTCCCGCTGGCTTTTGAAAGTCCGATTTGGGCCGAATGGAGGATCAAAAACCCACTTTAAATCTCAAAAATCTGGGTTTGGGATCTGCTTCTCCATACATTTTGCCATTGCATATCTGTCCTAATTTTGTAAAACCTGGCTCAATATCTATTTCCCTGTTCTTTGACTTTTCTGGCCTCAAATGTGGCAAGGAGTAATTACACGGGTCACACAATGCAGGGTGTAATGTTGTTTTGCAATATCTACAACTATGTGCGGGAGACACCAAAAAGTCATGGTGCCAGTTTCCAATGAATGGATTGTAGATCTGGCTCCAGAACTGCGATGCCATCGAGGTTGTCCTTGCTTGTCCGTTTGCACAGTGGGGGGGGGATAGCCGGTTCATCATAGCATAGCTGGTTTGTCGTCATGTCAAAGTGCAAATTGCAGTATGGATCTGGGTACGAGCAAACCACATCAAGTTCAGGTCACGCAAGACTCCAGTTCCCTTCATGGGGCTAGGTGCCTGACATTCCAAGGCTATGATGCGAACATGACAAGCAGATTCGAATTGAATAGGGAAACATCCCAGACACAAGTAGTTTCACAGAACACATATTTTGATTTGCTAGCGAATAGCATCATTATGTTTTATCGTCTGATGAGTTTTGGCACTGTATTTTGTTCCCGTAACACATCATTGAATGTATAGTTTAATCATTGTTCAGCATGGTTACTCTTCAGTCACGACTTTCCACTGATGAATGTGACCGAAGAAAATTAATTCTGGTAAACTTTCATGACTTCGTTGTAGTGTGGTGATGACTGCAGAATTTGTTCTCTTTATTGCTATTATAAAATTGTTGTCTCCACGTCGTTTATTTACGTCTGATGAGTGTTTATAAAAACGAAACTCCGAGTTACGAGAAAGATTTTTGGTCCCTGTTGTTCTGCCTATGTGTACAGGCTTACTTTTGGGAGTGTCAATATATTGACACTCCCAAAAAAGGCAAGTGAAGTGTCACATTCCTGAAAAAAGAATGATGTGTACAAAAAAAAGGAGTGGTGCCTAAGGGGTCGTCCATAAATATCGAACATTTTTCACAAAACGAAAAAATTTCGTTATGGGTGGGAGGGGATTGACCAATTTCGTTTCAGAAAACATTGATTCATGTACATGGCTGTTGTATTATGCATGTATGCCAACATGTTTTACGTTCTGAGGGGGAGGGAGGGGTTGGGTCTAAACTAAAATAATTTGTTTGGTGAAAAAAAGGTCGATATTTACGGAAGAGTGTATGGTTAGAACAATTGTTTTGTTTTGCAAAAGAAGACCATAGCATCAGTGTTCTGGAATGATTCTTCTAGAATAGTTCTAAGACTATTGCCAACAAAATGTGGGTGATAAGATGTAACAAATGTAACCTTATTCCCAATGTTCGTCTCCTTCTTCTTCTTTGCTGGTGGCAAAGATGGTTTGCCCTCGACGTTACTAAAGACGGCGGCCAGAACCTCAGGAGGATAACCACGCAGTCGTAGTCTAGACCAAGAACACTTACGAATAGACACAATTCAATCAGCAGAGAATTGGTTCTATTGTAGCGGTGAAGTTCAGCCAGAATAAATGAACGGGGATTTGATCTAGGGTGGTCCGACTTGAATGGTATATAGAAATACGCATTCCTAGGTTTTGATGTGTGCGATACATGAGAATGCATGCTTTGTCTGTGATGGATCTATGTATTTCTAAGTCTAGAAATATGCACTCATGCCTGGGAACAGTCCAAGTAAGGTTGATATAAACTAGATCACTATATACACTAAGTTTGACATTTTCTAAGCAAAGGTTTTCGTCCATAACTAGGAAAACCTCATCAATGAATCTAGTAAATAAATACATAGATTCTTTGAAAAGGCTTAGTGTTTTTCTTTCATGAATAAAAAGAAAAGCGCTTGCTACGTTTACGGCCATTGGTGTACCCTTAGCCATCCCCTGGACTTGATGGTAAATGGAGTCCTCAAAGTTGAAATAGATATTTTCGAGAACGAAGGTAATGAGATCTACTAGTAAGTGTCTGAGGGAGCGGGGGGGGGGGGGGGGGTTGTGATCAATTTCACTCAGGAGCTGATCGATGGTAGCAATGGTGTCATGCCAACACATGTTAGTATAAAGACTGACAACGTCTGCAGTGACTAATTTACTGTTTGTAGGGAAATTCGTTGAAGCAAGCAGTGATACTAAACTATTGGTATCTGCTAGGACTGTAGATGTTGTTGCTTTATTGATGATAGATTTTAAGTGGAAATCTACAAAGCGTGACGCAGGGGAGGTGCAGTAACCAATGCATGACACTATAGGTCTACCTGATACTTTTCCTGCGATACGTTTTTATGAATCTTTGGCAAAACATAAAATTCAGATTTAATTTAAAAGGAAAACAGCTCAATAATGCTTTAGTATCTCTAGTCGTGAGTGCGGCAGAATGCTTGTTGCGAATAGAGGAAAGCTTATCTGAGATCTCAACGTGTAAAGTATCAGAAGAAGTCATGTAACTAGTTGGCCAATCTCTTCTGCTGTGGGTGGTGCAATGTCCATATCAATGAATCCAAATTCAAAATGGCTTGTTGGCCAATCTCTTCTGCTGTGGGTGGTGCAACGTCCATATCAATGGCTTGTTCTTTGGCTACTTTGGCTTTCTCACTTGTTAGAGATGCTCCAATTCTTCTGGCTAGAGCTGATGTCTTCTTTAAACCAAATATGAAGTCGTATCCGTACATAATGCTGCTACTGAACAATGACATGTGCTTGTCTTCGCATAACTCACTGGCTAATTGGTCTAGGTTAGCTCTGGCTTGGACAATGCACTCATCAGCTCGTTTGATCTTCGCTTGGCAATTGGTAATACAATCTTGGGCATAGACTGAAAACTCCATTAGTCTTGCTTGCTCGGAAAGCTTGGAAAATTTCTTCACTAGAAAATCCTCATAAACCTTTCCTTCAAGTTGAGACTGCCATTTTTCAGCCTTCCAGCGGTTCTCTGCAATGATCCTCTCGCTCGTAAGGAGCCTATCAACACATCAACACACATACCGTTCAAGCTCGGCAGTGTCTGGGAGCGGGCTGGAGCCGGGTGTTGCCGACGAGATGCACGTATGTGCGTGGTGGGGGAGATCTGGATCTGCAGCTGCTGCCGAATCATCGTGTCCTTTACGTTTAGCTGACATTTCGGCAAGAAGAGGATATCCTGGACCGAGTGTAGTTCCTCGGCGGGTAGAATCTGTCATTGTAATAGTGGAAACTTAAACTTGAGGGATACTTTACGTACTAAGAATTGAATAGGGAAACATCCCCGGCACAAGTAGTTTGACGGAACACATCAGGGTAACCTCTCTTGTTCTGCTTATGCCATGTGTGTGCACGTGGACTGGTGCTGGTGAATGCCACAGGTGCGAGCCTTCCTGAGCTGTGCATCGGCTTGGAGTGCTTGTCATGAGGTATTGAGTTTGCAGAATTGGCCATCCCATTGTTTTGTGTCCGTCTCTCTCTCTCTCTCTCTCTCTCTCTCTCTCTCTCTCTCTCTCTCTCTCTCTCTCTCTCTCTGTCTCCCCTCTCTCTCTCTGTGCTGCCCTCTCTCTCTGCCCCTCTCTCTCTCTCTCTCTCTCTCTCTGCCTCTCTCTCTCTACCTCTCTCTCTCTCTCTCTCTCTCTCTCTCTCTCTCTCTCTCTCTCTCTCTCTCTCTCTCTCTCTCTCTCTCTCTCTCTCTCTCTCTCTCTCTCTCTCTCTCTCTCTCTCTCTCTCTCTCTCTCTCTCTCTCTCTCTCTCTCTCTCTCTCTCTCTCTCTCTCTCTTTCTCTCTCTTCTCTCTCTCTCTCTCTCTCTCTCTCTCTCTCTCTCTCTCTCTCTCTCTCTCTATCTATCTATCTATCTCTCTCTCTCTATCTATCTATCTCTCTCTCTCTCTCCCTCTCCCCCCTTTCTCTCTCTCTCTCTCTCTCTCACTCTCACTCTACCTGGTATGTTTGTACAGTGATCTGAGCCACAACCTGTTGTCTGACCTACCAAGCAGTGTCTTCCATGCATTTGAAAACCTGAGAACTCTGTAAGTTGTCTGGACTGCATGTGTAGCAGACCATTCCCGGTTGCACCGTTTTCACATGTGCACTGTGTAGATTGTGTTTACAGTGGAGTGATGATTACCCACACCCCACGGATCGCAGGCTGTCTCCAGGAGATTCGGATGAGAAGAATCACGCCATTATCACCGCTTACCAGCGTTAGGAGATTCCTATACTCGCTAACATTTCATACTCTCATAGAAGAGCCCCACCCCCCCCCCCCCCCCCGTCTTTTCGTCCCACCTCCTGTGTCCCATGTTTGTGTTGAATGCAGGGATCTGAGCTACAACCAACTGGTCACCGTATCGGAAGATGTCTTCCGACCGTTCATTATGCTCAAGCACTTGTAGGTATCCAGCAGTTGTGCAGTTCTGCAGTAAAGTGGCGGTTCACAAGTATCCTAATGTCCATTTGCCAAATCAGGGCCCCTCATACATGTGTCTCAAACAATACTTTTTGCACATATCTTGATCAATTGTCACCGTATTCATTACAACAGAAAAAACTTTTGTCCCTGGTTTGGTGTATAGACTATAGTGTCATGTGTTTTTTGAAATTTTTTCTCAACACTCCAGAAGTCTGTGCCTAATATAACAGGGTGGGGCAAACATTGTTGCAATTGTTTTAACCGGGCTTTCTCGTACTACAACACAATCATACTGCAGCCTGAAGAAGAAGAAGTCTTGAACTTTGAAGAGCATTGCATTTCACAGTTACTCAGTGTCAAGCTGTCGCCATAATTATGCATCCGAAGAGCTGTAACTCAAAACCTGCTATTTCCATTTTCCATTTCTATTTCACGTATATTCGAATGATTTCCAAAAAAGAGATTCATTTCATGCGCGGTTCGTATCTAAGTCCATATTTGGGTTCCCGTTTTGAAATTGTCTAGTCAGATTTTGAAGGTGACGTTTTGCTTGATGGTGCACCTAGGAATTATCTGAGCTGGAAGACTGATTTTTTCCGATCTTGATGCTTCTGAAAAGTTCTTGGGTTTTCCATGTCAGCTCTTCATTTCATCTCCGCTGTTGTGTTTGTTCAAATGGAGCTGTGGAGAACTGTGACTTGGCCCATAACAGTAGTCAAGTGTCACTTTGAAAGGGTGTCATTATGAAATGTGTGAAGTATTCCTGCTCGAATGTTTTGGCGACAGCAGCTTTAATACAGCACCGAGGAGGACGGATTTGGCTTTCAACTCTCTCAACCTAATGGAAAGTGTCGTCGGGTTTTTTTCTTCCCGATGATGAGTTTCTCCGACCTCTCAGGTTTGAACGCATTTGAATTTCCTCCAAGGAGAGTTTCAGGAAAGAGCCTAGAATAAAGACAAACATGTGTACATTATAGTACATTACGCCACACCAAGTTAATTCTATGTTTCGCGTTGGCTATTTTCTGGAAAAGGCACGCGGGCGGACAGGAAAAAAACAAAAACAGAAGAAAAAACAAGCTCCATTCTATGTGTACTAAGCCATGTTGCACACAGAATACCACTACTAAACTGTCACTTATATCCAAAACTAGGGGTCAAACGGGTGTACCTTTAACTAACGAACGGGTAATTTTCTTAACGGGCGGGTTAACGGATACCCTCTAGCAGCTATGTTTAATATTTTGCGCAATTTTCACATAAATCAAGATTTTAATTCATCTGTCCTCGGGTTGCATTTTGATATCACATTGTGATTCGCAAATCTATTGGTGTCTGATAGTCACAGGAGTAGATCTACTAGGTGCGAAAATGCAACAACAATGCAGACATTCAGCGTGGAGTTGTAAATAATTACTCCCGCCTGGAATAACCGATCCCTTGGGCAACCTGTAAGAAGACCTTTGGGTCTGTTGGGAAGGCCCAAGTAAAATAAAATACAATACAAAAAATACAAAAAATCCCAGCAGTGTTGCTCCCTACTGACTGGTTCATCAAAATCCAAACGGGTACCCTTTTACTAACAGAACCTGAGATTAACAGTCGGGTACCCAGGTACCCGGTACATCCCTTTGACCCCTATCCAAAACGACAAAAAAAGTCGTCACAGGACAGCTGGTAGACTGGGCTGGAGCGATACAATAAGAGATTTTATGGATGGCTTCTTCTTCACTTTGACGTGAGTTGAGTGGAATTCCGCTCCATCACGATCGTGCAAAATCTCGAAGTCCTTGGCACCTGGTATTATCTGCTCGCTTGGTGAGCAGGCACTACCGTACGGCTAGGAAAAGTAGAATTACTCATCTCTCGCACCTTCTACGTACCATCGCTTGGAATGCAAGATTATCGAGAAGCTGATAACCTCTGATCTGCCATACTGGCTAGAGAATGTTCGCCAGAACAGCCATCAATTGACTCGTCTCGGTTCTTTTTTTTCTTGTCAAGGATTCGAAAAGGTACGAGCGCGGTGACGCGAAACATAGAAATAACTTGGTGTGGCCTTATATACGTGCGTGCCGTGGCTCAGCCTGCGCAGTTCGCGCGCTGTCCGCACAAACACAACTCCGAAAGGGGACCTCGTAGCGGTCACGGACAACGAAAGCATCCATTAAATGGTCCTATTTTGCAATTTTGATGTTGATTACAGGTTGCTGGGGCACAACATGCTCTCTCATTTTCCCAACATCACTATAGCTCAATTGTTAAAGCTGTAAGTCCCACAGAGTGTGTTCATGCGCATGCAGTCGACTCCTGTTATAGCGAACATCATTGTACATGACTCCTGATATAGCGAACATCGCTGTGCATGACTCCTGATATAGTGAACATCATTGTTGCATGACTCCTGATATAGCAAACATCATTGTTGCATCACTCCTGGTGTAGCGAACATCGCTGTGCTGGAGAATTAGTTCTTTATGGCCAAAGTTCTTTATATTAGAATGCAGGTACACGTATATCATACAAGCAAGGCTTTATGACTGTTGCTTTGTCCCCTACTAGGGAGTTCAGTTCCGGTCGCTGAAAAGCGAAAAATGCCGTCACAGCTCGCATGTACAAAGTGATTGGGCGCCTCGTGGCAGCAGTTCAGGATGTAGTTCGAGGCCCAAGGATCTTCTCCCGCGGCCTTTTCGGCCTTGTCGGTGCTATTTCTTAGGTAGCTGAGGTCATTACCTTTTCAATGGTGCCACACATGTCATGCTTCCAAAAATAATGCCTCCACACTTTGCGCGGATGCACTTCGAAGTACTGACTTTGACTAGATGCATACTCAGCCCCGCAAGGAACACCCGATTTTCGTGTTCAGTGGCCTCGAATTAGTGTAAAACTAGAGGATTCTAGAACATTTTTAAGGCTTGCTTTATCGTGGTTGAAGGAGAATGATCACAGAAACCAGGCCACGGCGATTTAATGGTGGTGGAGGAAAAAAATCGAGCACACTGTAGAAGCGATGACGGTGAAAACGTGTGACCTGTGCACGTAGGCGCGCACGGCATGCATGCACACACCCTGCATCGCCATGCACTTCTGTAGGTACGTACCAGATAGTGCAGTGCTGGACGGAAACCACACGGCTCACATACATACTTTCATTTTACTTCTGTTTTCCGATCTTCAATCGACTATAACTCTAGATTGCCTTGGAATTTTGGCTTCAAATTATCACAGGTTGTTTCTCAAATCTTCTCGGTTTAGAAAACTAGCGTTTTATGCAAAACTCACGAACTTGGTTTTCGATTAAGCCACCTTCTATATTCACCGAACGAATTCCCATGTACCAAAGTGCTGTAAATTGAACGTGCATCCCTGTATCAAGCAGAATCCTGTAATATCAGGAGAGTTTCCGCTGCACCAAAGGGCGCACGGATTTTTTAGGGCAGGTTTTCACAGCACTTTTGGAATTACCCGCTCGGTTTTCTCTCGGTGTTCATGGCCTCACTGAACTACTGCCTGTTTTAGTTTTTTTTTTTTTAATTTGTTGGCGGCTGACTTGCTGGTGAGCTGATCTACTCACCTCCCACCGCTTCAGGAGCTGCATCTGCGCCTTGATCCTTGAAGGGTGGTGGCGTTCCTACGGATGCGGAAAACACGGCTTCCAGCCGAGTCTCACGCGAACCGTGAAATTTTTTTTTTTTTTTAGCGGCTGACTTGTGTAGGTGACATTGCAGCCTTCAAATCTGTATTCTCAAAACGGCCAGTGGCCAATAATTTGCTGGCAATAAGAGATAAAAGCGTGCAAGAGGAGAAATAGCGAGGGAAAGTTGGGCGGATGGTCATAAATGCCAGTCTGCAACGTGCTTTTGAAGTGCACGGGCAGGGGTGGTCGCTATACGAGCATACAGATTTATGGAAAAGTAGGGATATCTTGGATTTAAGGAGAGTACGAGAAGGGATTTTGCGTTGCACCAACCCACTGTGTCGCTGAACATTCCTATAATGAGTAGACTGTTCATGAGCATCGCACTTTACGAAAAGTGGTACAACCATGGCCGTACCACTTTTCGTCCAGGGTTGTCCGACCACAGTGCCCGTGGAGCGCTGAAACGTGCCCCTGTTGGCCGAAAAATCCCATTTTTCCATCGGGGTTACCCGGACCCCGGTCATACTACTCTCCCCCCCCCCCCCCCTGCACTGGGGCGTCACTGTTGTTCGTGCGCTTGCCTGTGTTTTATCCACTGGTGCTGCAGAGATCTCGCCAATAACCAGTTTACGTCCGTGGAATCGCTGCCGCTATACACAACTGTTTTGTATCTGTAAGTCAATTGTGCTGTGTGTATGTCACATGACCAAGTGTGCTGTCACTGCTGTGACGTCACTGCTGTGTGTATGTCACATGACCAAGTGTGCTGTCACTGCTGTGTGTATATTACATGACCAAGTGTGATGTGCACGTATCACATGACCAAGTGTGTATGTATCACATGACCACGTGTGCTGTGTATGTATCACATGACCAATTGTACTGTGTGTG